AAACTGCATGCTCAGGGGGTTGCTCTAACATCACCTGACTGTATGCTCAGCAAATACAGGCCAGGTCTGTTATGGCATAAGCAACCTTGGTCTCCAAAACTACATACAATAATTCTGTCTTTTGTTCCATTCCAGCCGGGTTCCATTTCCATGAACACCAATGGGAAAATGAACGTCTTTCTACTATAGTTACTAACATGCTAGTAATTTCAGGAAGAACCCTTTCTCATCCTAGACTTTCTGTGAAACTGGACACATGCAAGTCTTGTATGTAATTGGGGCACACCATTTTGAGATTTTTTCCTAAAGTTCTGACACAGTTTATTTAAACAGATATTCTCTGAGAGTTCAGTTCTGTTAGGTGGGAAGACAGACAGGCTGAAATGTGCACAGGTGTGGTATATTTCTGTAATTAAATTAGATTTTAAAAAATGGCTACAGATTTTGTCTCAGGTTGCAAGACCTGATGTTCTTTCTCTATAAACTTTTATCTAATCTCTTTTCCCTTTCTCTTCACTCTTATTTAGAAAAGTCTAGATCTTTGGATTAAAAATTCTTAGGTATTTGAAGGGATGAAATAAGTTGTATTATGAATCCACTGTTTTCATCTTACAGCATTAGCAATTGTTCTAACACTGGACACTACATTTTAAATTAATGAATTTTCTTTTGCTATCGCAGTGTTGAAACTGGCCTCAACTGTCACCAACCCATGAAAAAGCATGTGTACACTTAGGGAGCTTCAACAAAAAGATTCAGCTACTGATAGCTAGCAAATAGGGCACCCATTAAAAAGATGAGAAGACCGATAATCATATTGTTTTACTTTTGTGGGTAGTGTATAATAGCTTACTGACCTCCAAAGGGGAAAAATGCCAGTCTAATGAGACTAGAAAATCGTGATAATTTAAGTCAAGTGTTTAAGTAGCTCTGACTAACCTAACAATACGAGTACCATGGTGTTTCAGATAAGTGTTCTTTGCCAAACTAGAGAACACAAGATGGAGTAGCTGATTTTCTTCTTCCCTTAGGAAAATACACCCCCAAAAATGTATCACCTGCTAGGATCAAAATGTTTCTGGATTCATTTACTCCATTACCCAAGTGAACTCTCAAGAGAATTAAGCAATAGTTTCCCTGCCTCATATAGACTAAACCTAAAAGCTTGGTAAACACTAGATTTACCTCACAAACCATAATTTTTAATTGCTAACACACAGAGGAAAGCCATAATCCTCCACTTATGATATCATAGTCTACTGCCATGGAAATGACTGCAGTATCATAAACACAGGTTTAAGTTGATCTCACTTTCACAGGAAAGAGGGGAATGTCACTGGAATGTGAATCGACATTGGGAATATCACACATAGATACTATATATTGTAAAAATTCTCTCATTAGTCAGTTAAAATATGGAAGTTGGACAACAGCTTAGATGTGCAGCTGAACAGAAAAGGGGTTCTGTCCTGTCCAAACATCATATTACTGCCTGTGAGTCTTTGAACAGAGAGAGCCCTCTGAACAAGTTGTCAGGGTTCCATTCTCTAAGTTAGTACACCAGATAGAAGTGAAATCCCTGCCCTGACAGGCTTACAGTTTAACCACAAGAACATGAACAAAAATATGGCTATAAAAGTATACTGTGGATCACAGGACAACATTGTAGCTGGAATGCTTCCTAGAATGAGTAAGTACTTCAGAAGTGGGAGGAAGAGAACTATACAGTCTCTTGAAGCACACAAAATAAGATGAAGTCAGACGTAAATGCAGTACGATCTCAATGTGGCAAATGCAAAGTATTTTAGCATTGGCTCCAGAAAATACATCTATTTAACCTTCAGCTCTGAACTACTCTGAGATGTGTCAAACAACTCAATGAATGGAAGTTGAAATTTGTATGTAAGCTTTGTGTTGATGTAAGCTGGGAATGTCTAGTACTGTGCAGGACCCCAAGCTGAGATGAGACAAAAAGCTTGAACCGAGAACAGGGAGTTGAGAAACCTGTAAGGTGATAATGATCTCACTTAAGTAGAACCTTTCATCTGGAAGGATCTCAAAGCTATTTACAAACTTAAACAGACCAGACACTGCAGCTGGTAGGAACAGAAGCAGACAGCTGGGAACTCATTCATGGGAAGGAGGAGGTAGCAGCATTTACTGGGTGCCTTGTCTTCCAAAATGCTATTACTGGGAGAAGATAACAGGACTAAACTAGAGCTTTTCCCTGAACCTTGCCATGTAGCCATGTAAGAAAACTGCAGAGAGCAAGCACACAGCCAGAGCTGGCAGAAAGAGAAGTAGAAAAACAGGGGGCTTCTAGATAGCTGGGGAGCTGTCACTGTTAGGTTTGTAGTTTCCCTGCCTCTTACCTCAACCTCAACTCCACAGACACTTCACACTTTCTTCAGCAAAATCTTACGTCTTTCCTATTATTTTTCCCTTTTTAAGACCTTCCTCCAATTCCTCTTTACCAGTTTCCTAGTTTTTTTCACAAAGTAAGACAAGTTACATAGTAAGACAAGTAGGGCTAACCTCTTGGTCACTTGGAAGCCAAAGAAATTACTTTCGCCACACCATTCATGTAGTACAGGCATGACTATAGTAAAAGAAGAGCTATTCTTCAGCTCAAAAAATCTACTAAATACACACTATTAAAATGGAACTAGATAAACAAGTCTAAAAAACAGAAGTCATATTAGTTATTGGTGAAATGGAATTGTTTCTGGAAGGAAAGACAGTGCCTAATTACAGTACACAGTAGGTTAGGACACAAAATGAAGACACCAAATGAAAGGGCAGGGAGGTTTCAATTAAATAAAATCCAGAAAGCAACACTGTTGTTGCACTTAAATTAAAAGACATGGTGTGACCAGTTTACCATTCATATTTCCCAAGACTTTTAAAACTTCTACATTTCCATTTAGGAAGGGAGGAGTGGGGAGGGGAAAATTTTCATGGATCAGAGCCAAAGACAAGTGTTGAGCAGGTGTTCTAGCACCACCAGTCCTCAGAGAGGACACACAACATCCTCCGTTGCACAAACAGTTCATTTCAGAAAGTGCCAGCTGGGATCAATGGTGCACTGTCTCTCACTTGGGGTTCATAACATTGGTTCCAAATGCAGCCCTTGTAATGGGTTAAAAAAAGTAATTTGTGGTCTTGCCCTAGTTATTTTGTGTTAAGAAACATTCAACCCGACATTTTCCCTTCTTTTTTCCTCTTCAATACTTTGTAATTTTTTGGTAGACAAACTTTGTCAGAAGCTTTTCCGGTCCAGAGTATAACACCAAATACTAACATGCTAAAATGTTGAACTGTCTCACCCTAAAATAAACTGATCACTCAGATTTTTTAGGGGCGTGACACCAACAAAGTTTACAGCAGTGAAAAGCTTCTTTTGGCATGGATGAGCTTGGATCAGACCCCCACATCAGATGTGCAGTGTCTGGGCCACTACAGATACTCAAAAGCTGTATCTGAAAAAAGCACAGTTTTCTTAGTAAATCTCATTATTGAGGATTTCATCAACTTCCATTTTGACCCCGTTTTTCTTTTTGTGCCCCCAAGATGCAGCTTTCTTCCTGCCAGACAAGAGAACACAAAGAAGAGTTTCTCTAAACAACCTTTAGGTCCTCTAAAATCAGGGCAGAACAACAAAAACACTGAGCCTGTGCATCCTGCATTTACTATACACCCAAACTTTATTAGGTCAGGGAAGAAGACAAGGGCATAGTACAGACTCTGAAATCAAGCCCAGATTTTTCACTATTACATAAACTAAACAATTCACAGATGACACATTCTCTCATGCCTTGATGCCTTTCTCTGGATCCAAAAGATTAATTTCCTCAACTGGACTAAGCTTGTATTCCTTCACAGTTGTGCTTTCCCATGCTGCTGGCAAGAGCAGATTGACTAGAATGAGGAGTGGCTGCTGCAGGGGAAGCATTACAGATAAAAACAAAAACACAAATGAAATGGATTTGAAGGATTCTGTAACAGTTTGCTGCTAGGAGAAGCTGCAGAACAGGAAAAAAACCCAACACATTAAAGCAAAAAACCCCCATTATAACACGAGGACTGCATTCATGAGAAATGGTGGAAACAAGAACACATGTGAAAGACCTTGAAACAAAACAAGTAAGAAAATGAAGTCATATGTGAGACTTTCCCTGCTCACTCAAAAAAAAGTAAGAAAATTCCTTTCCATACTCCTACAGAAAAAAAATAAAAAAAAAAGAAGCCTGAAGTTACAGACATAGCTTTGGATCATGGACATTTCCAATGAGCCATTTACTTCAGCACTTCAGTTGACAATAACCACCGCTAGAGGCTTAAGAGGAGCTGTAGGAGCCCTAGCAAATCACTAATGGAGATACATTTGCCCTTTTCCACAGGCAGAGATCGTGCTCAGTTAGTGAAGATGATTCAATGTGTCCACCATGCTACTCTGAGATGCTAATTCCAGATGTCCATTTGCAACCACTGTCCAACCCAGTCTGGCAATACACTACTTTGTAGCTCAATGCCTTCTCTGCCATTTCTTTCCTACTGAATGTCTTAAGTTGGACACCTTAGTTTTTACAAGAGGGGACTGGAAGCAGAACTTGTAGTTCTACTCACTACAGGGAAGGAAGCAACTTGAGGGAAGGAAAGACATCCACAGATAACTAAGATTTCAAATTTTGAACATCCTAAAAAACACAGTTTTCCACTGTTTGGATTGTGGTCTCTCTCTCTTGAGCTAAAGTGAAAAACTGTTGCTGTTGTGGCTATCCAAAGTCTGTTTTTCCATCTTACATTTTGTTCTTCTGCTGTTTTCAATTGCCATGCCAAAGTTTCTCCTGTTTATTCTAATTGTTTTAGTGCGTCTGACTCTCATTGGTTCATATGTTTAGTCTTGTCCTGATTTAATATGAATTAAAATGCCAATGCCACGACCAGTCTACAAACATGAGTCAGAATAGAAACTATTTAAGTAATACTATGGATGGTACCCATCTGGTTTGATATCTAGATCATACAGAATAATGCTGTTTTTGTTTTCTATTGCTATTGCCAATGACGTGTTGATTGTGTTTGTGACCACAAATATGTTTTGCTCCTGGTCCTATTAAGCCAAAAGAGTGTGGTTTACTGCATGTATGTACGTGAGGTTGTTTTGATTATACTAAATTCACTTTAGAAAACCCACATTGTGCCACTGCAGTACTGCAGGACAATGAGAAAAGAATTTCCAATGAGAACAGTGTTTTAAAAGCAAACCACTGGGCCCCTTCCCTTAAAAAAAGATCTTAAGGCACAATATCCTTCCTTCTGGATTTGACTATTTCCCCAAATTACATCTGAATACTTTCTTTAAAGAAGGTCCCTGATCTTTTCCTTCTCTGCCATTATGTAAGACATCACAAATTTCAAATTGCACATTTCTATTTCACAGAGGTTATGCTTCTTTAAATCATTACTGTGTTGAGCAAAAACATTATATGCCAACTTCTTTTTTAGTGGTGAATCTGGCTACCATATGTCCAATGGGAGCTTGAAGCTTATCTTTCTGATTTTTGGTAGCTTGTCTCTTCAGATCTGGGAATGTTTACCATTTAATATCTACCATTCTGATATTTCCAGACAGAGGGCCATGATTATATTCTGGAGGGCAAACATGGTATTTTATCAGTTTGAATTATAACACAGCATTATCTAGTTCTGGCAGAGAACCAATCAATATGATTATCTTCTAGGGAAGATAGGCTTTAGTCTTGAGTGGTGAATATGCCTATTAGACATAATACATCCAAAAATATGCGTCTAACCTCCTCTGCATGACCCTCACTCCTAATTTAATTTATTCAGTCTCCTCCAAATAGGTGATAAGACAGGCATTTAACATGATCACTGCTCTCACAACTCTTTTACAAACTTAAACATCAGCATAAATGACAAACTCACAAAAACTTGATGCTCTTTCATCCCTGCTGAAATGAACCCTAGCTTTAAACCTATAATATACAGTCCCCTCTAAATTCCAGATACAAAGACCACCAAGAGAGACCCTCCTGGCATCAAATCTGATCCTAACCTGGCAGTTTTAACCACATTTAACAAAGCTTGCTTATCCGTCTCTCTTTTGTAGCGTTGCTCTCCACCTAGACACATCCCACTCTACAGTTTAGTCCTTTCCAGTAATTTTACCAGGATTTTTGTACAGTAGGATACACTTAAAACTGTGTCTACATGGGTAGTACACAGGTTTTTCAGGAAAATTAAACTCTTGCCAGCTAAATTTAAACACACTCTTTTTCTTACTTTATTAAGTGCTTTAAATCCTGTACTTGTAACAGAAAGAATGACGCTGTCACTTATTTTTCAGTGGATGCAAATTAGCTTATCACTAATAAAAAGCCCTTCACTGCTCCTTCCATGAAGGCTAATAGTGTGAGTCAGATACATTGTCGTGATAGCATTTGTAACATTTAAGAAACCTTCTCAGTTGACTGAAAAGTGAAATGGCTTTTCTTCAACCACTTAATCTTGGTGCAACAGCAGCTACATGGTTTACTCTCTGGTTACAGTATGGCCAAATAACATGGCTTCAAATAAATTCCTGTATTTCTATTGATTGTATCAAATTTGCAGCCAAAAAAAGAGTTTTCTTTTTTTTTTTGTTTCTTTAAGTGTCAAGAAAAATCACAAAGCTGTGGCTGTCAGCAGTATTTAAGCTGCTAGACAATTTTTTTAACAATTTCCCCATTTTAGAGATACAGGAAAAAAAATACCTTGAGGTTAGAGCACCATGTTTTTTATTTCAATATAACGTCACGAGCATCTGATATCTCATTCACACATAACGTCAAGATCAGTTCTACAAGATCTTACTCTGACTTACAAGACAACTAACTATGCTTGGAAAGCTGCCAGCGTGTCCTGCAGTTTGCCTAAAGCATTAAATCTTTCTGACATAGGTTCTGTGATTATTTCTGGGTTTTCATCATTTCTGCAATGCATGTCTATGCCTAAACTGTATTTATTCCTCAGCATATTCTTCTAATCATCTATTCTACACTTTCCTGACCCACAAGCTTTGATATCATTGTCTGCTGATTCAGATCGAGGAATTGTTTTTTCACTGCAGAATTCCCAGCAGGACAAGCTGATGCAGTCCAAATATATATATGTGCTTTTAAATCCTATTTTAACCAAATCTACATATATAGTTTAAAAACAGATCTGTGTAAAATAGCCCAAATCAAAGACTGATTGGCAAGTTTACTGAGACTGACAAGGTCAGCAAGTTTAGGTCAGTATTTGCATCATTGCCAACTCTTGCAATTTTGCTTGAATTCTTCCAGTATTTAGTATTCACTGTAAAATGCAGACTGCTCAGACCAAGAGCTTTCATGAACTTCTGTACTTTATTTTTTAAAAGGAATTTCCAAACCTTACCTATGTACAAAATAAAACCAAAATAATGAGACCCAAGCAACTAGTCTAAAAGCAAAACGCCCAGAAAATTAGTAAGACATTCCTTTAAAAAAAAAAAGTTCATAAGTCAACACTCAGCTTTGGGTTACAGAGGTGCTAAATTTTTGAGGGTTTCCTAGTTCCACTTCTTGTCTGCTTTGGGTAGGAACAGCTTGACAGACCTTTTCTTTCTCTCCCTCTTCTTTCAAAGTGCCACAAAAAAATGTTGTCGGCAAGTAATCAAATGATAACATACTTTTTCACGGAGCTACCTTCAGTTTCTTTGCAATATTAAGCTTTCTTTCTCGCTTTTCTAGTGGACACAAGTGCTTTGAACTGAAAACGTGTTACAGTTGACCAGCTTTATTTACCTTCATAAAATCGTTTCGAACTCCTCTGCTGACAGAGAGTATCAGAGTTCACAGTTTCCCATGCGGGTAACAATTAAATGCTGCTTTTCTGGCAAGGCAAAGGCCGAGCCACCTAGAACAGCTGAAAACACAAACTCAAGTCTCTCTTCTCCCTAAAGTTACAGACAGCGGATCAAAGCTCCAAGAGACAACACGTTCAAACTTCTCCCCGTTCCCACAGTCTTCTTTCAAGGACTTATTTGCACGGCTGACATCACCCGGGCCCAGCCGCCCCCACCGCCGGCTCTGCTCCTTCCCCCTGCCCCGGCCGCAGCCAACTCCTCGCCTCACTCCTCTCTGCCCCGGCATGGATGAGCTTGGATCAGACCCCCACATCAGATGTGCAGTGTCTGGGCCACTACAGATACTCAAAAGCTGTATCTGAAAAAAGCACAGTTTTCTTAGTAAATCTCATTATTGAGGATTTCATCAACTTCCATTTTGACCCCGTTTTTCTTTTTGTGCCCCCAAGATGCAGCTTTCTTCCTGCCAGACAAGAGAACACAAAGAAGAGTTTCTCTAAACAACCTTTAGGTCCTCTAAAATCAGGGCAGAACAACAAAAACACTGAGCCTGTGCATCCTGCATTTACTATACACCCAAACTTTATTAGGTCAGGGAAGAAGACAAGGGCATAGTACAGACTCTGAAATCAAGCCCAGATTTTTCACTATTACATAAACTAAACAATTCACAGATGACACATTCTCTCATGCCTTGATGCCTTTCTCTGGATCCAAAAGATTAATTTCCTCAACTGGACTAAGCTTGTATTCCTTCACAGTTGTGCTTTCCCATGCTGCTGGCAAGAGCAGATTGACTAGAATGAGGAGTGGCTGCTGCAGGGGAAGCATTACAGATAAAAACAAAAACACAAATGAAATGGATTTGAAGGATTCTGTAACAGTTTGCTGCTAGGAGAAGCTGCAGAACAGGAAAAAAACCCAACACATTAAAGCAAAAAACCCCCATTATAACACGAGGACTGCATTCATGAGAAATGGTGGAAACAAGAACACATGTGAAAGACCTTGAAACAAAACAAGTAAGAAAATGAAGTCATATGTGAGACTTTCCCTGCTCACTCAAAAAAAAGTAAGAAAATTCCTTTCCATACTCCTACAGAAAAAAAATAAAAAAAAAGAAGCCTGAAGTTACAGACATAGCTTTGGATCATGGACATTTCCAATGAGCCATTTACTTCAGCACTTCAGTTGACAATAACCACCGCTAGAGGCTTAAGAGGAGCTGTAGGAGCCCTAGCAAATCACTAATGGAGATACATTTGCCCTTTTCCACAGGCAGAGATCGTGCTCAGTTAGTGAAGATGATTCAATGTGTCCACCATGCTACTCTGAGATGCTAATTCCAGATGTCCATTTGCAACCACTGTCCAACCCAGTCTGGCAATACACTACTTTGTAGCTCAATGCCTTCTCTGCCATTTATTTCCTACTGAATGTCTTAAGTTGGACACCTTAGTTTTTACAAGAGGGGACTGGAAGCAGAACTTGTAGTTCTACTCACTACAGGGAAGGAAGCAACTTGAGGGAAGGAAAGACATCCACAGATAACTAAGATTTCAAATTTTGAACATCCTAAAAAACACAGTTTTCCACTGTTTGGATTGTGGTCTCTCTCTCTTGAGCTAAAGTGAAAAACTGTTGCTGTTGTGGCTATCCAAAGTCTGTTTTTCCATCTTACATTTTGTTCTTCTGCTGTTTTCAATTGCCATGCCAAAGTTTCTCCTGTTTATTCTAATTGTTTTAGTGCGTCTGACTCTCATTGGTTCATATGTTTAGTCTTGTCCTGATTTAATATGAATTAAAATGCCAATGCCACGACCAGTCTACAAACATGAGTCAGAATAGAAACTATTTAAGTAATACTATGGATGGTACCCATCTGGTTTGATATCTAGATCATACAGAATAATGCTGTTTTTGTTTTCTATTGCTATTGCCAATGACGTGTTGATTGTGTTTGTGACCACAAATATGTTTTGCTCCTGGTCCTATTAAGCCAAAAGAGTGTGGTTTACTGCATGTATGTACGTGAGGTTGTTTTGATTATACTAAATTCACTTTAGAAAACCCACATTGTGCCACTGCAGCACTGCAGGACAATGAGAAAAGAATTTCCAATGAGAACAGTGTTTTAAAAGCAAACCACTGGGCCCCTTCCCTTAAAAAAAGATCTTAAGGCACAATATCCTTCCTTCTGGATTTGACTATTTCCCCAAATTACATCTGAATACTTTCTTTAAAGAAGGTCCCTGATCTTTTCCTTCTCTGCCATTATGTAAGACATCACAAATTTCAAATTGCACATTTCTATTTCACAGAGGTTATGCTTCTTTAAATCATTACTGTGTTGAGCAAAAACATTATATGCCAACTTCTTTTTTAGTGGTGAATCTGGCTACCATATGTCCAATGGGAGCTTGAAGCTTATCTTTCTGATTTTTGGTAGCTTGTCTCTTCAGATCTGGGAATGTTTACCATTTAATATCTACCATTCTGATATTTCCAGACAGAGGGCCATGATTATATTCTGGAGGGCAAACATGGTATTTTATCAGTTTGAATTATAACACAGCATTATCTAGTTCTGGCAGAGAACCAATCAATATGATTATCTTCTAGGGAAGATAGGCTTTAGTCTTGAGTGGTGAATATGCCTATTAGACATAATACATCCAAAAATATGCGTCTAACCTCCTCTGCATGACCCTCACTCCTAATTTAATTTATTCAGTCTCCTCCAAATAGGTGATAAGACAGGCATTTAACATGATCACTGCTCTCACAACTCTTTTACAAACTTAAACATCAGCATAAATGACAAACTCACAAAAACTTGATGCTCTTTCATCCCTGCTGAAATGAACCTTAGCTTTAAACCTATAATACACAGTCCCCTCTAAATTCCAGATACAAAGACCACCAAGAGAGACCCTCCTGGCATCAAATCTGATCCTAACCTGGCAGTTTTAACCACATTTAACAAAGCTTGCTTATCCGTCTCTCTTTTGTAGCGTTGCTCTCCACCTAGACACATCCCACTCTACAGTTTAGTCCTTTCCAGTAATTTTACCAGGATTTTTGTACAGTAGGATACACTTAAAACTGTGTCTACATGGGTAGTACACAGGTTTTTCAGGAAAATTAAACTCTTGCCAGCTAAATTTAAACACACTCTTTTTCTTACTTTATTAAGTGCTTTAAATCCTGTACTTGTAACAGAAAGAATGACGCTGTCACTTATTTTTCAGTGGATGCAAATTAGCTTATCACTAATAAAAAGCCCTTCACTGCTCCTTCCATGAAGGCTAATAGTGTGAGTCAGATACATTGTCGTGATAGCATTTGTAACATTTAAGAAACCTTCTCAGTTGACTGAAAAGTGAAATGGCTTTTCTTCAACCACTTAATCTTGGTGCAACAGCAGCTACATGGTTTACTCTCTGGTTACAGTATGGCCAAATAACATGGCTTCAAATAAATTCCTGTATTTCTATTGATTGTATCAAATTTGCAGCCAAAAAAAGAGTTTTCTTTTTTTTTTTGTTTCTTTAAGTGTCAAGAAAAATCACAAAGCTGTGGCTGTCAGCAGTATTTAAGCTGCTAGACAATTTTTTTAACAATTTCCCCATTTTAGAGATACAGGAAAAAAAATACCTTGAGGTTAGAGCACCATGTTTTTTATTTCAATATAACGTCACGAGCATCTGATATCTCATTCACACATAACGTCAAGATCAGTTCTACAAGATCTTACTCTGACTTACAAGACAACTAACTATGCTTGGAAAGCTGCCAGCGTGTCCTGCAGTTTGCCTAAAGCATTAAATCTTTCTGACATAGGTTCTGTGATTATTTCTGGGTTTTCATCATTTCTGCAATGCATGTCTATGCCTAAACTGTATTTATTCCTCAGCATATTCTTCTAATCATCTATTCTACACTTTCCTGACCCACAAGCTTTGATATCATTGTCTGCTGATTCAGATCGAGGAATTGTTTTTTCACTGCAGAATTCCCAGCAGGACAAGCTGATGCAGTCCAAATATATATATGTGCTTTTAAATCCTATTTTAACCAAATCTACATATATAGTTTAAAAACAGATCTGTGTAAAATAGCCCAAATCAAAGACTGATTGGCAAGTTTACTGAGACTGACAAGGTCAGCAAGTTTAGGTCAGTATTTGCATCATTGCCAACTCTTGCAATTTTGCTTGAATTCTTCCAGTATTTAGTATTCACTGTAAAATGCAGACTGCTCAGACCAAGAGCTTTCATGAACTTCTGTACTTTATTTTTTAAAAGGAATTTCCAAACCTTACCTATGTACAAAATAAAACCAAAATAATGAGACCCAAGCAACTAGTCTAAAAGCAAAACGCCCAGAAAATTAGTAAGACATTCCTTTAAAAAAAAAAAGTTCATAAGTCAACACTCAGCTTTGGGTTACAGAGGTGCTAAATTTTTGAGGGTTTCCTAGTTCCACTTCTTGTCTGCTTTGGGTAGGAACAGCTTGACAGACCTTTTCTTTCTCTCCCTCTTCTTTCAAAGTGCCACAAAAAAATGTTGTCGGCAAGTAATCAAATGATAACATACTTTTTCACGGAGCTACCTTCAGTTTCTTTGCAATATTAAGCTTTCTTTCTCGCTTTTCTAGTGGACACAAGTGCTTTGAACTGAAAACGTGTTACAGTTGACCAGCTTTATTTACCTTCATAAAATCGTTTCGAACTCCTCTGCTGACAGAGAGTATCAGAGTTCACAGTTTCCCATGCGGGTAACAATTAAATGCTGCTTTTCTGGCAAGGCAAAGGCCGAGCCACCTAGAACAGCTGAAAACACAAACTCAAGTCTCTCTTCTCCCTAAAGTTACAGACAGCGGATCAAAGCTCCAAGAGACAACACGTTCAAACTTCTCCCCGTTCCCACAGTCTTCTTTCAAGGACTTATTTGCACGGCTGACATCACCCGGGCCCAGCCGCCCCCACCGCCGGCTCTGCTCCTTCCCCCTGCCCCGGCCGCAGCCAACTCCTCGCCTCACTCCTCTCTGCCCCG